TGTGGACTGTGACACCCTGCACGCCCTCCGTCTCCATCTTCTTCACCCTACGTGCCTACCTAACCCAGTCTACTCCCCTCCTTCTACTCCTCCTTCTACTCCTCATCCTCCTGCCCAACCTGACCTGGCACTCACTCGCCCTCACCTCCTTCAGTCATCCATCATCCACTCTGCGCCAGGCTTCGCCTTAGATCAGTCCTTATTATTCTTCTCGCTGCCCTCCGAGCCACGCTTTGCGCTTCCTTCTCTCTTCTTCTTTTCTACCACTTCTCCCCATCTACCGTGTCAAACATCGACATATCAAGCTCTCGAAACTGTGCGGTTCCTCTGCCCAGCGCCCATCGCCACTACCGTACTCGAACCTCTCAGTTGGTACATACCGCCACCAACCCGCCCCTCCACACAGATATCAACTCGCTTCTGGCGCCTCGCCCCGCCCTAAATAGCAGTATTTATCCAGTCGGTGCCCTCTCACTGCTCGTTTGACACTGACGCACACGTCTGTCTACTCTTGATTCAATTCAAGTCAATGGAGGCTTGTGCTTGTCATCGAGCGCACAAGGAAAAGGTCCATCGCATTACTCCCACTGTCCACCATCCTCAGCACGGCTGCGTCAGCACCCGACCGCAGTAAAGCGACACTCAAACGAGCTACCCGCAGCGAACGTCATCATCAATTGGGTCACAAATCCCCCACTGACGGCCCTCACTCCTCCTAACACAATCAACCACCTGCTGGTCAATCAAATCTCGTTCAAAGGCAGTCAGACGCTTAAAGCAAAAAAGTTGCTTTTTCAGTCCCCTCTTCAGCCCTGAACACGCAATTGTTCTTCCGCTGTCCACCGGCTTCCCTTACACCCGAAATACCCCAACTCCGATATCTCCATACTCCGCCTCGCCACCAACAACAACATATAAGATGGCTGACAAACCCAACCATACCGCCGCTCCGCAACCTACAAGAACCTTGGACTCAACCCACACTTCCCAAATCCCTTTCAAGTTCTCTAGGATGCAGCCATCTCCACTGACCTCAATCTCACAAGCAATGGAGCCCAACTACCACATGACGCCGCATCAAGCGACAACGATGGCTAGAGAGCCGAAGAGGGCTTTCGACATTAGCAATCTAATGTCTCCTCCAGAGCCGGTTCCATATGACAGCTTCAGCCAAGGTCAGCAAAACACGGTACAGACTGCATCGGGCGCCAACGAACCATCCAAGCCCCACATGCCCATGTCGCCTCCAGTCTCGCCTTACATCACAGAGTCCAGCAACATAGCCATTCCTGGAACTCCTGCAAAGGATCCGATCTTATACCCTCGTGAGGATGCGGCTTCCAGTCCGACACAGCCGCCTCTCTTTCCCAGCACCGAATCCATCGAACACAGACGCCTTGTCGACGAACACATTGTTACGCGACCTCCTGGCCTATTCCGCGAGGGCTCGCCTCCTCTCAGAGAAGACTACGAATTAGCTCTGCAACTCAAGTCGCAGGTCATGAGACTCTTTGCGAACAAGAGGAAGTCTTGGTACGAGAAGGAGAGGGACCAGGTTAGAGCCGACCGGAAGCTGAACCACGCCCGTTGGAATAGCGTCGTGCGATATCAGACTATCGCCCCAGCCAAGTCCACACCCGTCAAGGCCTCCAAGCCAGCAGTCAGCAAGCCTAGGATTTCGTTATCCTCAAACCCTAAGCCTGAACGTGTTGTCAAGGCTCAAGCTCCTCGGCCCATCCGCAACAGCCCCCCGACTCGCCATGCTCGCCGCGTCAGTTCGACTCCGGACCCTGCTCGTCGTATCGTGGCACCGAACAGAGAAGACCGCGACTTTGCTGCCCTTCCCGATTTTTGCCCCCCGACTTCTTCGCTGCCGGACAAGCCCAACTGCTTGAAGGTAGACTGGAAAGGCGCCCCCATCGATCTCAGCGACGACGCCAACGTTCACTTGCTTCACCCTGACGAGGTTAGCCTTGCTGCAAACCTTCGACTCGACTGCGCTACCTATCTTACAAGCAAGCGACGCATTTTCGTCCGTCGGGTCGAGTGTGCCAAGGTTAGCAAAGAGTTCCGCAAGACGGACGCTCAGCAGGCCTGTAAGATTGATGTCAACAAAGCTTCCAAGCTTTGGACAGCTTTCGACAAGGTCGGCTGGCTTGACCTCAAATGGACCGCCAAATTTCTCTGAACATTTCTCCAAGCAACTTGTTCTTCAGAACCATGCATCATCTGGCATGAAGCATGGTGTTGACCCTGGTATACCTATACTTACCATCGTCACGTTTCGGCCTATTGCCACGACGCCATTCTTACGATGACTTGAATAGACTTACGACATACGACACATGAGAACAACTCAAGTTATCCCCTCGTTATTTTTTCCTTTTAGGGGCATTGCTTTGCATACAGCGATTTAGGTTTGGATTGGTTCCCAAATCCGGATTTCCTACTTCCAGTATCGTGGGGCATAGTCCTTCACTTTTCTTTCGTTCAGCGAGAGCGGAATTCAGGTTTCCTTAGGTCTTGATATTTTGGGTCTGTTTCATCACACATGCGGCATCACATCACGGACACAGCCATTTACTACATCAGAGCATTAGGGACAACTACCATGATACCCGGAGTGCGACAGAAATCTGATCACCCCAGTCTTGTCACCCCACTCCATCACAATTTCCTTTCTTTGGTTTTGCATTTGGGCTTGGTCATCATACCCCCTTTCCATCAGTTTTGGTTCAAGGTCAATTGGTTTTGGGTCAGGGCAGATTTTATTCGCGGCTACTGTATCAGCACGTGGCTGAATCGCTGGGATAGCCTGAAGATCGGCTACGACTGTGTTGTTTTCGGGTGGAACATAGTTGCGGTATGGCAACTATTTCTCTTAGGAGGAATGGACGGTCTCGGATCAATCGGGACATGATATCTTGTCATGTATTTTTACTATGTGGTAACCGTCAATAGCCACCCACCAGGGTTGTCGGGCAATCTATGGTAAATTGAGTATGACAAACTTATACAATATATTATGTGGAAAAAGAAGACAACAGTAATATCAATCCTGTGACAATTGCAGCCTGTGAAGTTGCGATGGTGCTGGCAAGAGGTTGTCGGGGATCCTAGCTCAGCCCTATGAGATGGACATGTAACAAAGTTGTTTTCTTACCCGTTTTCCCTTCCCTCTTTGGAGGGGCGTGTCAAGACTACGGCTCTTCAGCGGAGCCCAGGTTCATTGATCGACGCGGGGGTGGGGGGGATTGAACGTTCGGATCGAGCCAGCGCAGGTGTCAGTTGCTGCACCGTCATGCTAGGGCGGCACGGCGGTTGGGCGGAAGGGAGCCTTGGCTGGCCCCCAGCAGTGCCGAGGGCTCGGGGGGTGGGTGAGTGTGACGGTCAACGGGTTCGTATCTCTATGCCTCAATTGCCTGAGGCACTTCTCATCCCCGCAGCATCGCTCATCTTGCTCATTTGGCGGCACTGGGGGCTTTTCACCTATCCTCACACCTTTTTCCCCGATGGAATGTCTGGTGAGGGCGATCCGGCGTATCGAGCTTTCTCGCCTTGCCAATCTTGTTGTCGAGAATGCTCCATAGCAGTCGACTGCCGTCTTCTTGTTTTGTAGACGAGGTGGCCGACCCAAGTTCGTCCCAACTCACTCTCGCTCGCATCCTCTATTGAAGGATGAACGCCACCCAAATCTCCCCGCGATGAGCATTCAAATCCGCCTGGGACAACGAATGGCGTGCAAAATTATAGATGGTTCACGAGCACACTCACTCACCTCCTCTGACCGTCGTTACAGGACGGGGATGATGGGATAAGCAATGGCATTGACCACTCAGACGCCGCAATTAACTACGCTCGGGTCGAGGAAGGTCAATGACGACGACACCTGGCTTGACCTTCATCTCGAGGTTCTCTCGTGGGCTAGATCCTTGACAGAAATGGTGAGAGACGAGGTACCTGCCGCGTTTTGATCTCATGAAAGCTCGAGACCACGACATGAGGAAAAGTGAGAAAGATATGTCGTGCAGTGAGAATCATGTAGAAAATGCACACTGACCTCAACTCAAACCAACTCGACGCCATCTGACTAGAAGTGCTTAGCACCCTAGCAAAGCCGTCTCAGAAAGAAAAAGAAGCGATTCTTCTGTCGTGAACTGCTTCCATTTCCGCTTCGCGCCAACGCAAGAAAATTTTCGCTTCCGCCTTCCGGTAGCCCGCAGCGGGTGTGGCCCCTACCATCCCGGACGCCTCGTGCTGTGTGGGCGGATCTGTTCAGATAAGGAGGGGGGGTGCAGGTAAATGTACGTAGTAAGAGTGTCCGTCACTTCGCAACTTATTACCGTGGTACTGGAGTCGAAAGGAAGGGGGCCTCATGGCCTCAGGCTGAAGGTCACTTCTATTCATCTCGCAATGCACGATAAGCTATCGATAAGACGGATGGGAAACGTTTCGGGAAACATTTCTGGAAACAACCTAACCTAAACGTCTGAGGGTTCGGCCACTCTCTTCACAGAAGTCTTTTGTAACCGAATGATTGGTTAATTGGGCTGCGAAACGTTGCGTTATGATGTTAGGTTGAGTCCTGGCAGTTTCCAACGTCGGCTTGATGCTTCGATGGCGAGCATGGTCTAGGGAGGGAAGACTAGCTGGTTGAGCCATGTCCACGGAGACGGTTCCGCGTTGACCTGGCTAGTGATGTCTAGCAATGGATGAGTTACTCGGCCATGCTCAATCGTCTTCAACTTTGATGTAGTTCCGTGTACGTTGCAAGACCCTGGGCTAGATCATCGGAATCTATTAGGTTGTGCTCTCCTCGTACTCCAAGCTTAGCTAGCTACTGCCTGGGCCTGTGATCTGCCCATGTGGCCTCGCCGTGCTCTTACGTGCGTCGGTTTTCAGCCAGCGTTGTTCGCCGTGTGCAGTGTGAATCCTGCGCCCGTTCTCCCACACTTCAATGTCGTGCCCCGAGGCGTCCTTCCAGCCCGCCACCTCAGAAGTCAGTCGCTCAGGTCTATAAGATCTTCCTGTGCCTGTGGGCTCGAGATGCGCTCGAGGATCGTCTGCGCGTTGCTGTCAGTAAACATGGCACCGACCGTGGGCTTACATGAGCCTCTTGATACCAGATTCAGTTAGCATTCTTTGTCAAAAGGCTTGGGGCCAACATACCCATGGCACTTTCGGCCGCATGTTGCTCCTTGTGCAGCCGTTGGTCGCCCGCAGCGCATACTACAGCCTCCTTTACCCGCAAGTTTTGCCCAATCACCCGGCTGCCGGATGCGAATCTCACTCTTGTGCGCTTTGCAGAAGACGGGGATGTAGTCCATGGGCGATGCCTCCATCCTGTTCAAGACCTCGCTCCAAATCGGCCGAGCTGACGACGCTAGCAGATTCTGCATATCGCCAAGGATGACTAGCAGGTGTCGAGGGCGGCTGAGGGCGACTATGGCGCGTCTTAGGTCGTTGAGGAAGCCCGAGTCTGGTTTCGTGCGATCTTCCGGGCTTCGGGTGATGGAGATGAGGATGATGCGGTTCTCCCTGCCCTGGTACCCATCCACTGTCTGGACCTCTGGCCCGAGGTGACCGGCGCCGGGGGTTTGGCGGAGTCTATGTTCGATACATGCCTTTTGTCCGCTGTAGAAGGTCAGGATGGTGATTTCTGACGGGCTCGTGCCGTTGGACACTAGGTGGCCGTATAGCCCGACAATCATGTCGGCCTCGAACGTGTTGACCTTGCTGCAGTACCGGTCAGATGACTCGGGCCGTTGGTGATTGAACCACAGCACGCTCTGCAAGCCCATGCCCGGGACAGCTTCCCGGTCAAACGTCGAAGGGTGATCCACCAGGAGAGGATACCATGCGTTCAGCAGCTTGCGAATGTCGGGCGTCATGCGTCTCTGCACCTGAAGGGTAGAATGCTCCAGGCCGCGCTCCACGAGCCTCTGAAACAGAGATACGTTGAGGTAGAATGGGGGCTTGCTAAGCTCGAGGCAGTCGGCGTGGGGCGCTAGCTGCATGTGGTCGCCGACGAGGATGATTCGCTCCAGGGAGGGGAACAGCGCGGCGGTGATGTTTGCTTCGCGGGTCTCGGCGGCTTCTTCGATCATCATGACGCGCGGCCATAGCGCGGCGATGAGTCTGCGGTACTTTGTAAGGCCTGTTGTCGTACAGCCTATGATGCGGGCCTTTGACTCGCGGACTGCGGTGATGTCTTCTTGCCAGCGGACGACCTTGAGCTTCTTGACTATGTTGTCGAGCTGCCTGAAAATTGCGGACAGGGCTAGCTTGGTTGATGCGAGGTATCTACGTTCGAGGTAGTGATAGACCATGCCGCGATACTTGGGCACAATTGACCAGAGGTTTCCATTTTTGACGAGCAGCTCTTGCGCCATCTTGTGGTTGAGAGCAACGCCTTTCGAGTATTTGATGCTGTTCCAGCGCGCGATCAAGATAGGCTTGCCCGACAACTGCTCTTTCTTGTTATCGGCTGAACCCTTCTCGCTGATCGCGGGCCCTGATGCTGCTTCGTCATTGTCGATGCCGTCGCTGAGAGGAACGTGAACGCTCCTATGAGGTAATTGGGCGAGCAACTGGTCACCGAGCCACGATCCGAGCAAGTGTTGGGATCCCTCCCGGGCGATGGATCTGACGTCGCCGTCCCAGCACTTCGTGACGGAGGCATACTGCTCCGCGCTGATCAGACCAACCTCGCGGAAGTGTTCCGGTAGAATCAGCTCCTGGTGTGCGGGGGGGAAACAGCGCTGGAGTAGAAGCTTCGCCTGAAATCTGAGGGAGACGAGACGTTTCTCGAGCGCGCTCTTGCTCCACGTCTTGCCGCGAGATCGCGTGCGGAGGTTGAAGAGAGTCCGGCTGGCAACGACCTCGTCCTTGGCCTGGCCGCCGAGGCGTACAAAGTCCACGCCAAGGTTGTGGCATCTGACGAGGAGCTCGTCGACGGTGTCATTCTTTTGGGCCGTGACGATGATGGGCACATTAGAGTGCTGCGTGCTTAGCAGGACTTTGAGCGCCGCCATGGACGTGTGCGTCTTGCCTGTTCCGGGTGGGCCTTGGACGATGGCGAGGTTCTTTGTTATCATGCGCTGGAGGGCTTGTAGTTGGGATTGGTCTAGTCTTGTCTTCGACTGTATGTGGCTTGGTATGTCGCCTTGTTTGGGGATGTATATGGGAACTGGGCGTTGAAGACCGTCATGGAGGGCTGAGATGTCCAATGTAGTGGACGATGATGGCAGTGAACTAGACATGTCAACGGTGTTAAATTGGCCGATGAAGTACTTGTCGAATGGTGAACTGAGAAACACATCAGCTCAAAGACTCTCATAGAGTTTTGAAAATGTCCCCGTCTTACTCGTCTTCTGCTGTTTGCTTGAGCCCCTCCAAAACGTGTCGAACGGCTTCAAAGTAGTTTGAGCGGGCTTCGACCATGACATACTCTTTATCTGGCTCCATGAAACTCGCAGTGATACTGGGATCCGAAAATTCGAGATCCAAGGGAGGAGGCGCCGTTGAATTGCCGGCGAGATCATCGTAACGACCCGTCACCACTGCCACGATACACTGTGTTCTGAAGTGGTCCGAGGCGGGAGACAGAGCTACTATTGTGCCTGGGACCACACGCTGAGATGCCGGCCAGTTGATGAGTTGCCGTGCGCGGATGGCGGAGAAGGTGATGCGGACCATGACTCCGAGGCGGATGATGTTGACTCCGCGGACAGAGACCTTTGGGCATCTCCAATTAGATCCAATCCTATACTGATTGGGAATGCTTAGTAGATTGCTTACATCGGTATATATGCACGTCTCAGTGCTCTCTGCCATCTCGGGAGCGGATTTGTATTCTTGAACGGCTCTACGGAGAGGCTCGGTGCCCTCGAAGCGTAAGAGATCGTATTGGGCCCGGAGATACGCGCTTTTCGTCGGGTAGACGACATTGAGGCCGTCGTTCTTTGGGAGGATGTACGATTCTTTCATAATCTCCTCTGCCTGTGGAAGTTCGGGTGTATCACGCCAACTCGTCTCGACATACAGATGAGACAATGGGTTCGCGATTTTGCGCTCAGGGGGATGTTTCTGGGACATGATCAAGTACAAGGCCGGAGAGCAGATCAAAGAATGTTGAGATTGTAAGGTGAGAATACTAATTGCCGGCTTGCGAGATTAAATAAATAAGGCCCTGATGAGCTTCAAATGAAGTGCATCAATCGCTGCTACATGAGTAATGCATCTATGTTCCAAGGAAGGGGCTAAAAACGTACCATATTCGGGAGCCAGACTTGATATCTACTTAACTTGGACCCGATGGACCCTTGTTAACATAAAAAGTCACTTACCAACCATAAGCATGAGAATCCCCACAAAGTCGAAGTAGGTGATACTTGCCACTATTTCAGGGTAAAGGGAACGTAATGATTGCAAGAGGGAAAGCTTTTGACAAAGTAGCTTGTTGAAAGCGGTGAGCTACAGTATCTCAAGCGTTTGCAGGACAACGCAGGCATGGCAAAAGGCTTATGCATCGACGGCTTCCTACATCATAACCTTGCAAAACCACCAAGACAAGATACAAACGATGCGAAATCCAAAGTGGCAAACATACGATGCTCTTGTTGAACAAACTTATACTCGCAATATGCTAGGAAAGGCCTCTAACATGGACGGTGCAACGAATTTGCTGAAAATGTAGCGAGGCACGACTCCATGTCAAAAGCAACAGCTGGGAAAGCCTGGGTCTGGATCCAATTCCAGAGACTTACCGCGATGTTCTCATTGGAGCGAGGAGGGGAATGAATGGTATGAAAGAGACAAAAACGATTGTGTGTTGCCTTGGTGCAGGTTGGCTTTATCAGCGAACACATTGGAATAGAAACGATTTCATCATGCTCGGACACTTATCGATGCTGGAATTGCCTGGTAGAGCTCGCGAACCAGGTGAGAGAAACATCGGGAGGGATGTTCAAGAACGAGTGTCGTTGGGAGGCCGGTTGTCCCGGCGGACCCTCAGCTGAGCGGCGCCGAAGTTCTGCCGTTACGGCCTGTCCGGCCGAATCAACCGGCGCTGCTTCCGGTTCGGAGCTCTTTCGTAAGGGATGCGCCGGTGCTGCTTCAGGGGATGCTAGTGCGGCTGAGCTTGGTAACCTTGTTGTCTCCCCGCCGTAATCGAAAGCTAAACTGCCCCGGCGAGGCGAACAGTACAGGCACACAGGGTGAAGTGGGCACAAAGCACCAGGGCGGCCCCACCGAGCTGGGCTTCTGAGGTGCTCCAACCCAGCACGTCGTCGCGACCGCAGCTTTCGCGACGATTCCATGCGCAACGAACATCAGTAGCGCCCACCAACCACTCATCTTCTATAGCCCATTGCCGCCAACTTTGTCAACGGAACCTCTTTTTATACTTGGAATGGAACGTTGATTTTCACACTGCGAAATTCTGAGGTACACATTTAATCGCAAACGAACCCAATCGCTTCTCCGACCGTCGCGCAGCCCTGCCGACGCCGCTGACTTTCCGATCGCGCGACCCTCCTGCGCTCTGCTTGCGTCCTAATAGCTGTGCATTGTTTGCAATCCTATACACCGAAGCTTCGAAATGGATGACGACGATAGAGGTATGTCTCGGAGCCTTATGTTTCCTAGAAATCCGCTGACCTGTCCGGCAACCCAGACTCAAACGCGAGCTCCGACAATGACCAAAACGACCAGAACGACCAGGACGAGGTCATGGAGGACGTAGATGATGCCGAAGGGGACATGGAAAACGAGGAGGAAGATAACGAAGACGACCAGGAGGATAACGACCGCGAAGAAACGGGCGATGATGCGCAAGAAAAGGGCGACGACGCAGCTGCAAGAGATGCAAGAGTGCCTTCTAGAGCTGGTTCGGCCGGCGCGGGGGCGTCGCCAGGGATAAAGAGCGGATCTCCACTGCTATCCTCAAGTCTGTTCCCAAGCGTCCGACCCGAAGCCGTCAATGCCCGGCTGTACGATATTGTTCCTACGATGGCTGCGCCGCAGGCGACGAGTGTAAACGCAGTTGCCATTACGCCCGATCTTAGGTTCTGGATGACAGGAGGCTCCGACGGCTATATCCGAAAGTACGACGGGCCTGGTACTATAAATGGCAAACAACTCCTCACAGTAGCGCAAAGGCACCCCTTTGTCGATAGTGTCGTCAAGGCGGGCATTTTGATGTCATACTGGGAGAATGAGGAGCCAGGCCCGCCGAACCCGAGAGGGAACGAAGAACACATCCTATCACCCGTTTACTCATTGGCTGTCCACTCGCAGGCGCTATGGCTTCTTTCGGGTCTCGAATCTGGAGGCATTAATCTTCAAAGTGTAAGGCATGACGAAGGAAAGCGCATAACATGCTTGCAACAGCATACTAATGCTGTGAGCGTGTTGACACTGGCACAAGACGAGAAGAGCGTCCTAAGCGGCAGCTGGGACAAGAACATCTTCGACTGGGATCTCAACACTGGCGCTGTCAAACGTTCTTATGACGGTAGCGGAGGTCAGACTTCTGCTATCGAGCTTCGCCCAGTAAATGGTGCACCGATTCCAGCCGAGGCAATGGAGGAAGAAATCAAACCTGACCCGACTTTTACCTCGAATAACAGTAAGCCTCCTCAGAACGGCACCCTAGACGATATCAACGGTATTGAAGCTCCGCCTCCTGCGTTGGCCGGCGAAGGCGCTGAGGGACAGGCGTCACCCGCACACGAGTCGCTCTTTGGCGGTAGTGATACAGGCTCGCTATTTGGCGACAACGTAGCAGGCAATTACGGCGGCGATGACGATGATGAATTCTCGAGGGCGATGGGAGATATGGGAATGCCCACTCTTCATGATGGCTCAGGGCAGGACGGCGGTATGGACCACTCGGCCGATATCGATATGACAAATGCTTTCAACGCCGATGCCACCCCGGCGCCGCCGGTCCAGGCACCAGGAAGCAGCAGTCCTGAAGCCACAAGAAATCAACCTCCAGCACCGGCACCGGCTCTAGAAGCGAGTGCGACAGATGTGACCTCGGCGCTAGACGGCGCAGGCGATGCTACGACGGAGCTGCCTGTTCCAGATTTTCCGGAAATCCCTTCTCTACCCGATATGCAGACAGATGATGCAAATCCCGGTTCACCCTCCATGATTTTCGCCTCGGATCCTCCTCCACCGGCCATGGACCCAACTCAATCAGCGGACACGGTCTTCTTCTCCGCAGCCATTGATGGTAATATCAGACTATGGGATCGGCGTGTCCAAGACCCCGTCGCAAGGATAGGCAGTCAGAGAGGCGTGCCACCTTGGTGTATGGGTGCCTGCTGGAGTCCAGACGGCAATTGGATCTACGCTGGCAGGCGAAACGGAACGGTGGAGGAGTACAACATCCACAAGGCCAGAAGCGGCTGGGCGCCGGAGAGGACCCTCAAGTTCCCGGCTGGAAGTGGAGCCGTGAGTGCGGTTCGAGCGATGCCGAATGGCCGTCATCTCGTCTGGTAAGCTAACAAAAGCCGACATGGAAACACGATTGCAAAGCTAACATAAGCACAGCGCTTCCCATGATATTCTTCGTCTGTATGATCTCAAGGACACTCGAGCTTTCAAGCATTCCACCGTCCCCTTCCTGATTATTCCTGGTCCGCCTAGAGCTGGTGTCATTTCGTCACTCTACATCGATCGAACGTGCCGCTTCATGATATCAACTGCTGGAACGCGCGGTTGGGAAGGTACAAGCACCGAGGTTCTGATTGGGTACGAAATCGGTGTCACCGAAGAAAAGTAGGACTATGCACTTTGATTCTTGTTCGGCAGTTGAGGTTTTGAGTTTGGGTCAAACCACGTACCGAAGACGTGAGACTGAGAGAGATCAAGAGGCAGATGCAAAAACGGAGTTTGGAAAGAATATCGACGTGCACCTTGGAGTCTGGCGGTGACTCGTCTTAGAGTTGTAGCGTTTTCAGAGACTTTGAGACTCTCAAGGCCTAATATCAATACCCATCTACTAATGCCCTGCAGAGCTCTAGAACGTACCATGTAATCCCTCTCAACTTCTGTAGTTCAAGGCGCGGTAGCTTATCGTCGTCATAATGTGGACCTAAGCTATGTCACTATGAGCTCGCATTCGCACCTACAACAATATCTAAACGCTCAGGCCAACATCCGTCGACAAGTTGAAATCTGCCCACTGGCTTTAGATTAGCAAGCTCAGACGAATTGGACTTCATCTCGCACATCTGCAATTGAGATGCGAAAGGCAAGCGGTTGGAGGGAAGGAAAGTGGAGGGGTTGTTATGATAAGATACGGCTCGTCCTACGAGGGACTCATGGTAGAGCAAGGCGAGGTCATGGTAAACCTTCTCGATATCAAAAGCTCGGCTCAATATTACAATGGGCATTCCACCAATGGCAATGATACCCGGTGATAGAAAAGAAACAAACACAATCATCCCGATGTCAATGATATCATGCCAGACGAAATCTCCGCCTTCAACTCTACCTCATCAACTCTGACCTACCTCATCATAGTTGGATACAAGTTCGCAGTATTGTGAGGGCCAACAGGAGATAGGCCAGTGGTCAAATCAAGCTCGGGACGAGGTCTCGGCATCACGTCCCAAGGACTTCCCCGCCAACCTCAAAGCTTACGCAGGGGGTTCACTGCAAGAACGGTTGGACCGCTATCTCCAACATCCCACAGCGGTCTAGCGTATGCTGACCACCTCCCCACCTCCCTGATAAGCACGGAAGGCGGCAAGTGCGCCCAGGCTCTTACCCCGGATTGGCTTTCGTTTTGGGCCCGGTAACTTCTGTCAACCTTCAACACAACATACCTAGTCTGAATACCACCCAACCACCTCCCCCCTCCCCTTTCCCCCTTCCCCTGTCCAGTCGGAGATTCTCATATCTCTGTAGACCTGCTGACCACTCCCTGCGCTGGGTTTGAATCCCGTAGTCGATAGAGGCTAGCCACTCGGGGCTCACACCGGTCTTTGCCGGGGATGAGGGGTCCCGATACCGTGGTGCCCGCTTAATGAGACGCGAAGCCCGGCCGGGTCATCTGCATAACGGCTGCTACCATTGAGGGG